AAAAAAAAAAAAAAAAAAAAAAAGAAAAAAAAGAAAAAAAAAGAGCGTAGATTTTTTTAAATAATCTTATGTCGATAGTAGAACCGACATTCCGAAATTTTTCGAAAAAACAGTACGCGAAAAACGATGCACGCGAGATTTTTTACAATATAAAGGCTAAAAGAAAAACAATTCTTTGCAATAAGTTTTCAGCTTCATTCGATTATTTATTTCTTTCTTGTTTAACGAAATATTTATCGTGTTCGTTCGTTCATCAATTATCGCATTCCTGTTTATCTGTTGATCGATTCTTTGATTGGGATACACGAATTTATTTCGACTCGTGGTGGTAGCGGTTTCTTAAGATGCCCAGGTCCAAAGAGTTCTGTTTTGCGGCTTTACTTTAAACGTTCTGTCGAACCAACAACATGCAAAGCGTTTCCGCCGATATATATGTATTGTAAAACTATTTCCAGGAACGATTCACATCGTTACGGTATTATTATATACTAATTAGCGTCTTTGTCGATTGTATTTCATATTTTCTAGAACGTTAAATAAAAAGATTTTCGAATCTGAATATAATGTGAAAGGAGGATGTCGTGATAACTTATTACAATAAAATGAATAAAAAAAAAAATGAAATCAAAAGGAATTTCTACGTTCTCTTATTCATTTTTCGATTCAACATTTTTAGATCGTCATCATATGTAAATTTGGCTCTTTGGATCCAGTGCATTTCTGATTTCTTTGATTCAAATGGTTATTTCAACTTATTTCGTCGTTAGTGTTCACGGTTTTTCTTTATATTTTTGTTTTTCCTTTTATTTTCCCATTATTTTATACATCTCTTTGTATTGAATGTTGTATTTTTCGTTTATTAAAAAAAAAAATTAAAAAAAATAAAAAAAATAAAAAAATAAATAAAATAAAAAGAATATTAAAGATAAAAAATAGAAACAAACCGTATTGATATAACTGCATTTTTACAACTTCAAATGCTCTCCTTTAAAAAAATAAAGTTAAAAGCGATTGACTAATCGAATTAAATATTCTACAGTATATTTTTTAAATGGTATTTGTTTGTATTGTAAACTTTATAACTAGTAGATGCAATTAATTATTATGATAATTACATGTATGCTTTCTGTTGCTTGAGTTTTGTCTTTTTTTTCTTAATTTTTTTTCTTTTTTATATATATTCAAGGAATACCTATCTTAGAAGTTATATATATTTATTGTCATCTCCTACACCGATGATTCGAGACAATTTACGTGTAGGGCGATCTACGTTCTTGCTTTTATTGAATATTTGTTATGTTTCTTTTGAATTTTTATTAGTAGAATCGTAAATAATTCAAAAAATTCTTTAAATTTTCAAAATTCCAAGACGATTATTCGAAAATAAAAAAAAATTGACATTAAAACGTAGGTAGCCATACTGGTAGTTTGTCTTGATTATTAGCATTTTACTCATTCGTAGGCATACCTAATGCATCAGATTTACACAACACTTTTACACACTTACACACTTGAAAAAAATGATAATGAATTAACGGTATTCTAAATGTAACGTGTATATGGCTGTACAAATGTAACATTTTTTTCCATTATGTATGATGATATTATTAATGATAATGAAAAATGGGAAGATTTGATGCAAAAAATATGGTATAATTAAATTTACAAAAAGAAAAAGAACATGTGTGCACATTGATCAATACATATCCGACTGTACGAGTCGGTACGAGTATCGATCAATCGATTCACTCCCGAGTGATTTACCAATAAACTACTATTACTTTTAATTATTATAAAATACCATTTCTGTAATAACATTATGATATAAAACCATACATTGAATGGCAAAATTTCAGTGATTTGGTATCCTGCATAATTTTTTTCTCCCTTATTTTTGCTTTCTCAGTAGATGTACCTGTATTATAAATAGTGTAATATATAAATATTACGCATTCTTTATGAGGATTACAATGAACATCTTATATTTTTAAAGGTAAAGTTTATTCTTATTGTTTATAACTTATTTGTTGGCTAGAAATTGCTGATTACGCATGAATGAGAACTGCAGAGTATGTTATATGGTAGTCTCAGGTAAAATCAAATTATTTATTGCATCTGCTATTCATTTTATGAAATAATAATCAACGTATATTCTGAAAAGTAACATATGAAAAGTTACATTATTAAAAGACTCAGCATTTTATATTCAGCATGCCAATGTGGCCGCGGGTATTTTGTAAATATTTTTTCTTTTATTCGCTCTCTTCTTTAGAACGCTCTCTTTCAGAACGTCTAGATTTCTTCTTACGCCGACTTGGACTTCGGGACCTGGATTTATGTCTACGAGACCGAGATCTCGATCGATGTCGATGTCTAAAAAGATATAGAAAGTATTGTTACACAATTTTATTATTACTTATTTATATTACAATTTTATTATTTTATTATTTTAGATAACACAGGTATTGAGAAATGAAAGTATAAATAAATGAAAAAAATAAATTGATAAATCATAATCGTAATGAAGTAAATTGAAAATAATATTAATTTTAAATATCACATATTTTTTTAACTCCGCATTGCTTTATTACCGATCTTTGTGTCGATATTGAGATCGAGATCTATCACGATCTCTTTCTTCATCTCGTGACATTGAATCTCTTTCTCTGTCTCGTTCTCTAATCATAGAATCCTTTTCTCTTTCACGATCGCGATCTCTATCCTTATCTCTTTCTCTGTCCCTTCCCATTGAATCTAATTCTCTATCGCGATCTCTTTCTCTTTCCCGATCTCTTTCACGATCTCGAGAATCTCTAGGTGGCATTATAGGAGGAATATTTGTAGGAGGTACCATAGTTGGTATTGTTTTTGGACCAGTATCTTTTTCATCTTCCCCTTCTGTCATTGGAATAGTTAAATTTGTTGGTTGCCATGTCTGAAATGTAAAGAATAATCAAATTCTTTTAAGAAATAAAAATTAATAGTAAAACACGTAAGATGTAATATATACCGGATCGTTGCCCCATTGATTATCTTGTGTAGGCTCATAACTTTGATAATATGGATCTGTTTCAGGCATGTAAAAAGGAGCTGGTTCTCCAGGATATCCAGGAGGAGGCATATCAAATGCAGGAGGCATTCCTGCTCCTGGTGGTGGTACACTCATATCAGGAAAACCTGGTTTTCTAGAATATTCTCTCCTATCTGCAGTCATTACTTGTATCACATTTCCTTTTGGTGGAGATTTATCAAGATTTCTTCTTGAAGCTAAACCTGAACTACCAATTACATCTATTGTTCCTGCCATTTTTCTTCCTGGAGGTGGTCCTGCTCTCTTTGGTCCCATTATGCCAGAATATTTACTATTATCATTGGTAATTGCAACTTGAGGTACTCTCATACTGCCTGCATTACCACTACCTCCCCCTGCATTCAATATCAAACCTACTCCAGATTCACTTCTCATTCTCTTTTGTCTTTCACAATAAGCTCTCCATGTTTCTTCATTAAAGCCATAATTAAAATAATCAGTAATATCAGCACCAGGCTGTCTCCAAGGTTTATCTTCTAATTGATCTAAATTAAACTCATGAGCAGGCATGCCATTGATAACTCCTATAGTTTCAAATTCATCTATACTAAATTTTCCTGGTTGTTTATTTAATTTATCTGGTACACCTGATGCATTTGTGAGCAATCCTCCTCTTTTAATATTGAGACTACCATATGCAGGAGTTGATTTAATATCACCAATAACAACATGTACATCATCATCAGAATCTGAATCACTAGCAGCTTCTCCATCTTCTTGACTGGAAGCTTCTCTTATTCCATTTTTATTTATTTCCGTATTATTTTCATTTGGAATATTATTAGTTGGTGAAGATTCTTCTTCTGGTGGTTCTGCCTCTTCAGATGGCTAGAATTGAAGATAAACATTAAAGATTGAATTTAATTTCAAATAGTTTACAAATTAAATAGGTTATGTTTGTACGATAATAACGTGTATTTTGATGTGATAAAATATTTTTGAAAATATTTTTTCGAACAATGTATATAACCAATATTACAAAAACTTAAACATTTAATATCTTACGATCATTTTTGTTAATTTTTTTCAATAAAAACTGATAATAATAGTTGAATAAAGGTTAGGAAAAATGAACCTCTGTTGGTGGATCAATAACATTTTCTGTTTTCTGATCTTCCAAGATTTCTGACTTTTCTTGTATTGTAGCAGGAATTGAATCATTTTCTTGGCTTTCTGGTTGAACGGATGTCGGTGTATATTCTTTTCCATCAGTTGAATCTCCATATAACCATTGATCCTCATTTTCATCCGCCATTTTTCCTCTCTTCTCACTTGACAATTAAAGAATTCCGCATCTTCTGAACACGCGTAACGATCAAAATACGAGTGCTTCATCCTGCAGGTTCACCAACTATTTGTTAATATTAAAACTAATTTTAATTTAAATCATTTAATATTTTATATTTTTTTATTAGTTCATTTTTCACAATTAAATTCTTACATTCTTTTTAATCAAAATAATAAAAAATATTTGATAAATTACATATTAACTATTATAAATCTAAAAAATTATTCTTAAGGTGGCATTAATGTATCAAAAGATTTAATGATTTGACGTGTACAAAAGTATATAGTGAATTAGTATACTTATAACTGTTTTATTATAAGATTACGGTTAGAATGGGTGCAGATAAAAATACAGAAAATCTTGTAAGTTTAATTGTCTAATTTTAAAAAATGAATATTTAATAAAATGTATATTTCCAATATTTTAATATTACTGAAAAATTTATCGCTATGTGTCTCAATTGTAAATATATATTAAACATGCCGCATATGGTATTTTTGAGTCCAGAGTTATATTTTAATTAAATTTTATATATTATATCAATAGATTTATATAATATATTAATGTGCATTTTTTAAAATCACTATCAATTTATATTTTATACATATTTTTATTTTTATATTATTTTTATACTATGTTTACTGCTGGTATTAGATATAAAATGTTATTTAATATGCGTTACTTAAAAATATACTTTTTTTTAAATTAAATTTATTCTTTTAGGTAATCAAAATCAATAAATGGGATGGATCTGCAGTAAAGAATGCATTAGATGATGCAGTTAAGGATGTACTTACAAAAAAATACAATTATATAGAAAACTTTGCTTTACTTGATGGAAGATTAGCTCTATGTGGAATTGCTGTAACAGTAGCAATTGTTGCTCTTCTTTGTGATTATTTATATCCTTTTCCTGCATCCAAACCAGTTTTAGCTATTTGTGTTACATTATATTTCCTGTTAATAGGACTTCTTACTTTATATACAACATACAAAGAAAAGGGTATATTTGTTGTAGCTATTCAAAGGTAAATTTTATACATTACATATAATACAGTTCATTTAAAATTTTAAACTAATTTTAAAATCTTTAAGTTATTATATCTTATATATTTTAGGGATCCTGCAGGTTTTAATCCTGATCTTATTTGGGAAGCAAGTTCATATTTAAAAAGATATGATGATAAATATAATCTTGTGCTATCTGTTAGAAGTACTGCTACAGGAAATGTGAATGAAACTAGTGTTACAAAATCTGTTGCAAATTTTATTGATGTCAATGGCGTTGTTATTCCAGAATTAATAGAAAATGTTGTGACAAATATGCATGATAGCTTAACTATTCAACGTAAAGAAAAGTAGCAGAAAGAATGATATTTAATTGAATATGATCATTATCTTTTTTTTATAATATACAAAAAATTGTTTTTTTTTTATATTTTGTGTATTTCATATTGGTGTTAAACCATTTTGAAAATAAAAGTTCAAAAATTTTAAAATTGTGTATGTATTATATAATTCATGTTTAAATACAATAGAAAAACAAATATAAATTTTTACATTACTGTTAATAGAATAAAAAATTTCTTTTCCACTTACAATACTAGTAAATTATTTACATAACTATACTTTATTTGATAATTCATTTTCAATATCACAGTTGAAATGAAATTGATAATAGCCATTGAAATAAAATATATATATATATAAAACAATCAAGAAATAAGAAAAAAAAATAAAAATGATTATTAATAAATAATAGCCATTGAAAATTGTATACATACCTCTAATAATTAAGAAATAAATTGATAAAAATAAAAGCGACAGATATTTAGGTTACTATAAATAATATATGTGAGTTATCAATGAAAAATGATAATGACTGATTGTTCCCTAAACAGGTACATTAACAAAATGTGTCGTCTTCGTATTGAAGAATCGAAATTTTTTTTATGTAATATAATAAACATATATTTTTAGAAAAATTTTTGTAAAAACGAGCAACAGACAAA